AGTGATTCTTTGGTCATATTCAAATTCCAATTAAAAATCTTTGATGTACAATAAGTATACCAACATAAATTGCAAATCTCTTACTCTAAATTCATAATGTGTATTATGATAAAATTCTTGCCCATTGCGGAGCGAAAATTGCACACAGAAAGAGCTGTAAGTATAATTATTTTACAGAAAAGAGAGAGTGACAAGGCTGGAAATAACAGTAGACTCACCATGAGGACCAAATGTATGAAGTAAGATGCAATAATAAAAAGAAACAAGGTGATTAAAAGCAGTTTCATCTCATGAAGGCTAGATGAACTGCAGGGATAACTAGAACAGAAAGTGACCACCCAAGGTCAGTTAAAAAGAAAAGAATGGTCACTGTGGGGAGCTTGTCTAGATGGGTATTTCCCAATGGTTTATTCATTTGAACATTAATAATTTAATGCATGCAGGTTTGGCATGGAGGGTGGCACACATGTTTACATCAAAAACTCTTCAATAACATTCTTTCAATCAACATTTCTAAACTTATTTGACCAGGCCATAGTTTTTATATATGCACAATATTTATTGACATCACCTGTATAAGAGGCTTCAAGATAAGATGAGATAAAGAAGGGTTTAAAAGGATGCTAGATGGGGGTTGACTCTGCGTCATGTTCATGGAGCTGCTAATCTGAGAGATAGCAGAATACCATTTTTAGAAGAGTCTGTCTTCTATGAAGGTTTACAATTGTAAATCGTAATCCAAGGCTCACGATTCATGGAGGCCTCAATCTCATCAATGCTACATAAAGATGAGAGGGTAGAGTGAGAATTTTCCTGATGGGATTAATGAACAAATTCCTTCTGAGAGAGCAGTTTCTCTGTTGTGAGTTCCTTCCCAATCCCTTTTGGGATAGGAGTGTGGGAAGGCTACCTTTTAACACTAGACCTGTGAGGAACACTTCAAGAAATCCACTCAGAAATCTTAGAAATAAGATCACATAGTTGAGAGACACAGGTCTAGGGTGTTAACCATATATATCTGAGAACACGTACACAGTCTGTGGACATTGGGGTCTGAGTCTTGCCAAAGGAGGCTAATTATAGGCTCCTCACTAGTTTGGTGGAGAAGGGAGGGGAGTTCTGAGAAAAGGTCTAAAAGAAAGATGCATGAGTGCTGCTCTGTGGACCAGATCTGAGCCATCCAGGACAGACAGCACTGCCTCTTGTGTCCTGTCCAAAAATGCCTCCTGCTGAACCAAGGAACCCTCAGCAGGAAATGGCTAAAGATGAACTGCCAGATTCTTAGGGCCTCACCTAGGAAAGTGAAGGAGGATTCAGCAGAGTTCGTCTAAAGAACTCAAAGGATATCACAAGGAAATGTCAGTTTTAATCATCTGCAGACCCACCCAGTGACACTAGCTTAGCATTTCTACCAAGTACACTAAAAGTGCCTCTTCTTTTCTCTTTTACCTTCTCCTTCTGGTTTCTACCCAATGAGAAGACAAATAGCAGTTCCTAATAACCTTATGATAGGAAAAGAAGAGAGGCCATGGACCAAGTCCACCTTTGTCACTCCTGGCTTCCAGCCCCAAAAGCCCTGAGTGGAGTTGGGGAAGAATTAAATTTCCCATAAAAGATGAATCTCACTAGATTAAATTAAGAAGACAACTACAGAAAAAAGTAAAATTGTTTCTGTGGTTATTTCCAAGTTGAGCTTGTTCGGTATAACAGTTACAGAAACTGCTATGCAGCTTCCTGGTAATCTAGAACATAGTATCAGGAGAGGCACATTTAAAAACCGCCCTTCTTACACCATAAAGTCTGAGACTTTATCTGAGAGAAGGGGGAAATTTAGCTGTCTGAAATGCACTAGAATATAAAGCATAATAACCCATAAAATCAGTAGCTTAAATTGTTATTCAAATCAAAGTTTAACCTGTAATGTGGCAGTATAAAAATCATCACATGTTTTGTGGTCAAGAGAGAAAATAATAATAATGACAACAATGATAATAATGATGAAAATGCTATAGCCCTGTCAGATTGTTAGCTTTGGTATATCATGTAATTAAAGATCACATAATCAGAGAACTTTATGTTATTGCTTGGGATGATAGAACTACTCACAATTGGAAGATAAAGATTGGACAGATGTTCCCTAGAAAGGAAGAATTAAACGACTCTGAAATTTCCAAATAAAACAATGGGCTGGATGACTTGGAACAGACTAGATTTGATCAACATGTTTACTTGAGTATGATGAGTTACAGAGAGACAGTAAGTAGAGTATTATATCTAAGAGTGAATTCTGCAGCCAGATTAGGTGGGTTAATATCAGTGCACTCTGAATATCTACTATAAAAGCTATTGGTTAGAGCTTGCTTTCTTTACATAAAAAGTATGTTGTTACTGGGTACGTGGAAAATACTATTAATTTTAAAGACATCTGTGGTAGATGGTTTCAATACACCTAAAGACAAATATTAATTCCATGAATAATTAAGTGGTTCCTCAAAAAGTTAAACATAGAATTATTATATGATTCAGTAATTCCACTCCTAGGTATACACTCAAAAGAATTGAAAACAAGTACTCAGACAAATACTTGTACACAAATGTTAATAGTAATATTAATACTATTCATAATAGCCAAAGGTGGGAACAACTCAAATGTCCATCAACTGATGAATGGATAGACACAACATGTTGCATCCATACAATGGAATATTAATAAACACAATGTGTCTTATATGTATACAATACATAAAAAGGAATGAAGCACTGATATATGGTAAAATATGGATGAACTTAAACAACACAAAGAAGGTCACATATTATTTAATTGCATTTATATGAAACATCCAGAACAGGGATATTCATAGACATAAAGCAGACTAGTGGTTGCCCTGAAGTTGGGGGAGAGGAGGAAATGGGGAGTACTGCTGAACGGCTTCCTTCTGGGGTGATGAAAATGTCTTGGAACCAGACAGAGGTGCTGGTTGCATAATATTGTGAATGGGCTAAATGACATTGAATTCTACACTTAAAAATAGTTAATGGTGAATTTTATATTCTTAGAATTTTACCTAAATAAAATAATAATAACTAGGCAAAATAAAAACCCCAAAGTGGCCAAATCACAAAAGAATCTGCAAATCAATGATATACTATGAAGAGCTATAAGATTAAATTGAAAATTAAACATATACTGTTCATAAAAATAAAATTTTAAAAAGTAACATAATGTCTTTAAACATGTCCTGAATTACAGTGACTTGAAAAATGAATACAGTATAGAATCAAACTCCTTTATAAATTTGGTTTGGTGACTTAAAAATATATATTCCTTTAATAAGCTATTCCTGATTAAATTGTTCCAAATGTCAGAAAATAAGAAAGGCTTATCCCAGTGTTCTTGTCCTCTATCATGCACTTGTAAGATCAAGAACTCAATGAGTTGAATTATGGCAAACATCATAACATCTTCATATATAAATATCTATGATTCCATAGTTGAATGTACTAGGTTCCCAAGTTAAACTTGGCTGTTACAGCAAATCTAAAAACATAAAAGTTATGAATCTATTTAATATGCAATACACTGCTAATCAATGCAAGCTTGGAAATCGAAGATGTGTTTGTTTCTTTTTTTAACAAAATGTAGCAATGATGGAAACAAAAAGGTGGAGTGAAGGTAGTATTTTTTATTAAGAGCAACATCAACTGAAAGGGAAAAAGCAACAGTATAAGAGAAACACTGGATATACCATAATGTCATTTTGTCTTAGATCCCCATAAAATTAGCCCCCATTCCTTTGAGTATATAATTTTCAGTTAAACTCAGCAGTCTCTTCTCCCTTACTATGCTTTGTTCTTTCGAATTTAATTGGAGGCTTTATTTTAAAATGAACCTCAAAGAAATTCTGGTGGTTTATCTTTTCATTACTTCAGTAATAAAATACCAACTTGCTCATTGTAATAGCTGGTGGAAGTGAAATCACATTCAAGGGAAAGAAAGTATCTAGGTTCCCTTTCTTCTATTGTGTGATCATAGCATTTAAACATTTCTGTAAATAAAGCAACAACTCAAACAAAATTTGACTGTCTGAAAATAATTGTGAATCTAAGCTGTTATCACTCACCAGAAGTATTCTAGAACCATTTTAACTGTTACTTTCAGAAATGCTCTTTGGCAAGGTGCATGCTGCAGACTCTGTCATGATCAACACAGCCCCCACATCATGCATTATTCCTGCAGTTATGAAACATTCTTACTTATCTTTCAGAAAGTTACTGATGCTTGGTCAGGAGTATCAGTACTGTCCAATTACCCTATGTTTAGCCCTAAACAAAGTAATTCAGCATATGAAAACAAAAAGTCCAAAGAATAAATCATCACATATATTTTTTCTCTCTCTTTTTGAGAAAAGTTTAGAGCAGCAACCATTTTAATTAGCACATTGAGCATAAGAATACACAATAGCAGCTGTTAATATGCAGTTTTAAGACTGGAGGATGTGGTAACTTATCTAGATGTAAGGGAAAAATATGTTCAGCTAAGCATATGGATTGTAATATAAATTATGATTATATCATGAGGAGAGGCACGGAAGGTCATGTGCAATGGCTGCCTGTCCCCACTTAACCAGATAACAGTTTCCTAACATAAAATAGAGAAGTTTTTATATTATTTTAACTGTTAAATATGATAGAAAATGAACCATGATAACAACTTATATCAGCGACATTTGAAAACATATAACTATGTTGTCTGTGGATGTGAAGTCATATTTCTTTTTTTAATTTATTATTCAAGAGAAAAATGAAAAACAAAAGCTACGAGGATCATCTTTAAGAAACCTCAAAATTTCAAAGCAGATTGTGTTTTTTTTTTTTTTTTTTGCTTGAAGCATTTTATCTCATTATATTATTGATAGAGGAAGAGAGTTTAGTTTGCTCGAACACAATTAATTCGGTTTACTAACTAGCTGGTTGAAGATGCCAGAGATAAAACAAATTACCTTCTCTTGATATTGCCTCCTGGAAGAATCCAAAGACTGGATTAAAGCTGTGGCGTGGCCGACAAACATGGCGTAGCAGGTGGCCCCGACAATCATGCTCAGCATGGTAATCCAGAGGTCAGACATGCTGACGGGGGCTTGGGCTCCGTACCCAATGCACAGCATGTGACTCATAGCTTTGAAGAGTGCGTATGAATACTGTTTTCCCCAAGAATCATTCTGGAATATCAGAGAAAAAGATAATTGACTGAGCCATTAGGATAGCAGAATGAAAAACGAATACAACCTGTATACAGAAACATTATAGAATAGCAAGCATAGGAAAAATTCTTATAATGAAGCATTTACAAATATACTTCTCACTAATTTCTAATAAAATGATGTTTCAAATCTTGCCTACCATGATGAAATAGAAATAGTCAACTGTTAAAACATGCAACTCCTAGTCAGTTTTAAGTTTGCTGTTTTTAAAATTAAAACTCCTTTTGGGACAACGGTGTATCATATACCAGTGCCAAGAATGAATGCTGATGAGTTCATTTTAAAGTTTCTGGGAAACCTGGTCAAATAGTAATATATTTGCAAGTGAGAAATACAGCAGACAGGTGTGAGGCATATGGGCCAAAATATCGTAATTTTTATCTATATTTTATTAAAATTTAGAGTTTCTTTTGATAAATTTGTATCTAACTCTTTAACTCAAAACTTACATAATTTATGATAGCCAGTGCAAAATTAAAATGTGGGGCTGCTAGTTCAAAATGCAGGAAAAAAGTACTGTTAAAGATGATAAAATGTAAAGATTTTCCCTTTAAAAATATTTTAGTGGTTATAAAATGTAACAGGATAATAAGGATAGATGAATAAAAATATGAACTTACAAATTGTAAAAATTAATATTTTGGTGTCATAATTATATGTAATATGATAAATAATAGTGTTGTATTAATGCAATATCTTGATCATAAAATGTTTTTGGTTTACGTTTCTGCAAATATACTTCTTAGATTATCAAAATTTATATAATTAGCCACTTAACATAGTGGAAAGTGACATCAGTTGCTCTTGGCTAATGTAAGATCACAAATAATTTTGATAGTTTTTAATTTTGAGAAAGATATTTCTGTTGATTCAATTGTTATTGGAGCTATTAAGACTATTTTAGAGGGTGTGAAAACATTTGGATAAATATGGGATAATTTATTTTAAACTATAAATTTTAGTACATACGGAGCTGATGATCCTCGTGGGACAACTTTTTGATGATGATTTAACTCTTAAGGTATGTGTACATCAGTTTCATGTACATCTGCACTTGATTTTTTAAATTAAAATTTTTATTTTGCGACAATTATAGATTTATATGCAAGTTGTAAGAAATAATAGAGATCCCGTGCACTCTTCATTCGATTTGCCCAAAGGTAACATTGTGCAAACTGTAGAAAAATGTCACAGCCAGGAAATTGACATTGATGTTCTCTACTCATCTTATTTATATTTTACTAATTTAACTGTATTCATTTGTGTGCCTGTGTGTGTGTGTATCTACTTCCATGCAATTTTATTTCATGTGTAGGTTTGTGTCTTCATCACCAGTCAAGATACAGAACAATTCCATCAAAACAAGTGTCACTTATACTACCTTTTAATGAATTTAATGTTAAATGTAAATGTATACAATGATATTTTAGAGTTTCCTTTGATAGTTCCTGTAACTTGTCTAGGTTGTGCAAGTAACCAAAAGTAGTTTAAAGATTTATATATAATTCAAACTGCCTGTTTGTATTAATATATTCTATTGCTGTATTTCCAGTTGTAAGGAAAGTTTAATTTAAAAATTGTCTCTTTTGTTAATAATTGGTTCAATTTAAAGCTTCATATGAAAATAGTGTTATTTGACATCAAATGTAATCCTTAAATTTAATTTGTATTTCTAAGCTTGTGGACATTTGCTTTGCAATGTTGCAGTAGTTTTCAAAATTGAACATTGTAACATAAACTCTGAAGAATTCTAATACCTCCCTAAGTGCTTATTGAAATGTCCATATGCACACATTTATTTTGTAATAATTTATTGGACAAAGTTTACTGCCTGAGTGTCATTGGTACTGTCTTGGAAATTAGGCGGGAGATTCCTGTAGATATTACAGGGATATCGGTTCCTGAGACTGAAGGTGTAAACTCGTTTCTTACCATAGATGTGCTCCCTTCCTGGATGGGTAGCCGCTTTTATCTCCCATAATTGCTTGTGTTGCTGCTGCGGCTACAGATTGTCACTGCTAATCTGGGCCCAGTTCTGGCTTGGCGAATCGGGGACACATAATGTCCAGACTGTTGAGCCATGCATAGGGGCGCCTTGCCATAGGTCAGTTGCTTGGCATCTGTACACCTGCTGTGCCTGAAGTCCCGAGCCTCTGTGTGTACTGTTGCCACCCTGAAGCTATGCTGCTCATGTTCACATTCTATTGCCCCAGGGGACTTCATTTACAAGACATAAATTCAGAGATAAAATTGTTAAGAATTTCAAGATGGTGAAAACAAAGCATTAAACCGAGCACAGGGTCCTTCTGAGAATGGGGGGCCTTGTGGAACTTCAAAATGACACATCAATGAAGCCATCCCTGCCTTTATCAAAAAACCATTATGTTATGAGAAAATTTTATAGTTGCTTTATTTTGAGTAGATATGAATACTTTTGTTCGTTTTTTGTGGTTTATCTTTTAAATTAATTAAATTAAATATTTTTTTATTTCAGAGTATCACAGAGGTACAAATGCTTTGGTTACATAAATTGTCTTTGCACTGTCTGACAAGGGTGCAATCCCCCAGACAACACGCACCGCATCCGTTAGATGTAGGTTTGCCCATCCCTTCCTCCCACTCCCAACTTCCAAACACCCTTTGGATGTTACTTTCCATACCTGCACATTAGTGTTGATCAATTAGTATCAATTTAATGGTGAATACATGTGGCATTTGTTTTTCCATTCTTGTGATAATTCACTTAGAAGAATGGGCTCCAGCTCCATCCAGGATAATACAACAGGCAGTTCATTTATTTCATGGCTGAGTATATGTACTCCATGGTACACATATACCACATTTTGTTAATCCACTCATATATTGATGGGCACGTGGGTTGTTTCCACATCTTTGCAATTGTGAATTGTGCTCTTATAAATATTCAGGTGCAGATGTCTTTTTTACAGAATGTATTTTTTTCCTTTGGGTAGATACCCAGTAGTGGGATTGATGGATCAAATCCCATAGGTAGTTTTACTTTTAGTTCTTTGAGGTACTTCTATACTACTTTCCATAGAGGTTGTACTAGTTTGCAGTGCTACCAGCTATGTATGAGTGTTCCTATCTCTCCACATCCATACCAACATTTGTTGTTTTAGGACTTTTTGATAAAAGCTGTTCTCATTGGAGTTAAATGATATCTAGAAAACCCCACATATTCTGCCAAGAGACTACTGGAATTGATAAATAAATTCAGCAAATTCTCAGGTTACAAAATCAATGTACAAAAATCAGTAGCATTCATATACACCAACAACAATCAAACTGAGAACCAAATCAAAGACTCAATACCTTTCACAATAGCAACAAAGAAAATGAAATACCTAGGAATATGTTTAACTAAGGAGGTGAAAGACCTCTACAGGGAGAACTATGAAACACGGAGGAAGGAAATAGCAGAGGATATAAACAGAAAACCATACCATGCTCATGGATCGGCAGAATCAACATTGTTAAAATGTCTATACTACCCAAAGTGATCTACAGAGTCAACGCAATTCCTATTAGAATACCAACATCGTTTTTCACAGATCTAGAAAAAATAATTCTATACTTCGTATGGAACCAGAGAAGACCCTGTATAGCAAAAGCAATCTTAAGCAAATAGAACAAATTAGGAGGCATGAATTTACCAGACTTCATGCTATACTACAAGGCTTTTGTAACTAAAACAGCATGTTACTGGCATAAGAACAGAGACACAGACCAAAGAAACAGGACTGAGAACCCAGATATAAAACCATCCTCATATAGCCATTTGATCTTCAACAAAGCAGACAACAACATACAGTGAGGAAAAAAATCCTTATTCAATAAATGGTGCTGGGAAAATTAGATAGCCACATGTAGAAGACTGAAACAGGATCTGGACTTCTCACCTCTCACCTCTCACAAAAATCAACACACGATGGATAACAGACTTAAACCTAAGGCATGAAACCGTAAGAATTCTATAAGAAAATGTTGGAAAAACTCTTACAGA